AAAATATGTGCTGTAATCGAACTTATGTTTTTGCGATTCAACCACCATACACACAAATAATATTAATTATTTTTTAAAACATTTAATAATAAAGACGTGAAATTTTACTAAGCTTTCTTGTTACAATAAATATGCCAATACGGAACAATAATAATATAAATAAAAATTTCAAAAAAAAAAATAATATATATTAGAAATAAAACAAAAATTTTTTTAAATAAATTTCGGAAATTATAAGTGTGATTATTCGATTCGATGGAATATTCTGAATTACAATGATGATTATTAAAGAAGAAAGAATTCCTTGGCGAAAGATATGAAGACCCCAATTCGGGGTTTTCCGCCAGGGAATCTTTCAATTTTTATAATTTTAAAATTATCAACAAAAAGTTTATCTGTAAAAATTAAATATCTGTGAAAATTGAATGAATTTTAGAGCTTAATCTAATTAATCTAAATGATCAAGTACCTGATATATCTTCATTAAAAGACAAGAATACCTATTATATTATATATTTTTGTCGTTAAAGCAATTAAATCTCTTTTGATTGCATACATACACACAACATTTGTACAATGATTGTTCAATATATTCGTTCAAAAACCAGTTCCACAACCCGTAATAAAATCATTATTACAGATAGTCGGCAATCGTGAAAGGTTCGAGGTAACTAGACTCGTGGCAATGGTATCCATGGAATTCAAGGCGGATTCCATTATCAGAGGAGCGAAGGAGGGTGGAAAATGGCGGCTTAACGTTGAATATATGAAGCTCGCCACGGTACTGGGCACCGAAATTGGTCATATCGTGGGATTTCTGGTTGCCGCGTTGATTAGTCGACGGTGGAAAACGGTGGAAAAATAGAAAGAAACGGGGGAGGGGGAGGGGAAGAAGGATGTTCCTCCTTCGCCGCGAACGAGCCTGAGGGACGAAGGAAATGCACGGACGGAATAATGGAGCGTAACTTCTCTTCGAGGGGAAAAAAAGAGGGAAGAAGGTATCGAAGAAAAACGAGCCCGCCTTCTGGAAGGGAGGCTATGATTGACGGCGCTGCTTGTTCCAAACTTGCGGCTCTTTCTTTCGAATTTGTAATCGATTACAGGCCGCCTCGGGACATTTTGGAACGTTTTGAATGGTATTTGAAAAATTGGAGAGAGGGAGTGTATGGGTGTATAAGAGAGATATGGAAGGGAGGGATTGGCTGGGAGGTAAATCGTAATGAAAAACTTTTTTTGAACTTCGACAGTCGTGATTCATTCGCGGAGGAGAGCTTTTTATATCGTGATTTAGCGCGTTGCTCGCTCCATAAATCGGAATTCCCTGATTATTGGATCTTTACACTTGTCCCGAGAGATAAAATCTATCATTTTTTCCCTAAATTTGATGTATAATAGAAAATTTTGAGATACAATGACGATTCAAGTTATTAATGATAGGATAAGGATATTTATTATACAATAATTACTAATTTAATCGAAATTCGTATCGATTTTGACAAATTAAATATATGAAAAAAAAATATTTTCATGATAATAGACATACATTTTTGAAAATGAAAAAGTATATTATACTTTAGTATATATAATTCAAAATATTAATAAACTAATAAACTAATTGATTAAATGATTTGAGAAACAAACAAATGTTGTTTATATCAGTATTTTTATAGCAGTACAAATTAAAAATGAGTCGACAGATTTCATGAATCATTAAATTGAGAAACGAAGAAGATCATTGTGCTTCAGATACATGAAAGAAACATCATTGTTTCAGAGATTTCGTAGAACAAAAGATCGTGTAGTTAATTGTGAAAGTCTGAAAAAAAAAGAAAAGATAACAATACCGTTGATATGGTGGAGGACAAATGAAAGAGGGTAAGAGGAATTTCGTTTGGCTTCCATGTCACGGATGATACACTTTTTCTTCGGCATCGAGGATTGTACAGAGTGCATTTCGTCCGATTTTTCCACGATTATCGATCGTCGACTGCCACGACGATGTTTACGACGGGATATTGAAATGAACGTTGCCTTTCATACTTTATCGGATATATCGTGATATGCCTGGAATTTTGATACGGCCGTGCACCCTCGCGATTCGATAACAGCCCGACTCAAAGAGATTGCAATAGATACTTTAAATAAATTCTATGCTACGATTGGAAAAGTAGAATTATGGATTCTATTTTTTCTTTTTTTTTTTATTTATTTAAGCAATTTTAATCTCCATTGAAATTTTTTTTTATATCACATTGCACGGGAATAATTCGACGTAATTTGAATTTTCGTTTTCGTTCGTTTATTTTCCTGATTTATTTCCCTATTTTTAAGTTTGGAATGAAATTTTAATGAAATGTGTATTTATCTGATTTATATTTTCTATTGATTATATTAAATCTTCAAATTTAAAAGGAAATATGAAATAGTGGATTATAAATTGAATCCATATATATTAATTTTTAAATTTTATTCACTTTATTTTTATATTTCATTACACTGTTATACATCAATTATTAGTTTTCTTAAATAACAAAATTATTAAATCTCAAATTAGATAAAAATATAAAATTATAATTAATTTTTTATATATCTCCATAAAGAATTAATACGCGCAATAACTAAAATTACCAATACCTCGTATGAAATTGATAGGAGGATCGATTATTTTATAAAAGCTTGTGAAACAGATAAAACAGAGAACGAATCCAAGGTGTAAATTACAATTTTTACGCGGTTATGCAAATTATAGGCCTCGATTTAATCATGGTAAATTCTCCCCTATATTACAGGATATTGGAATTTCGTGCAATTTCCACAGTTCTTTTGCACAATGCAAAAACATTTACGCAAATCCATGCGTTAAGATTATTTTTCATTTTGCTCGAATAAAAGAGAGACTATGCTCTGTGAATCGAATGAAATCGAAATAAAGAAAAAGACACTCCAATGTGCTTCTATATAATCGAATAAATTAACCAATAATTGGCACGAATTTACTAAACGTTTGAGAACAGAGTTTATTCTAGAAGAATTTAAATCTTTTCGATTACGAAAATATAAAAAATTGTATCGATAATGCAATTGAATACAAAATTCTTAATTAAAGATTTAGTAAATATCGAAAGTATTTAATTTACAAAGAGACTTTGATAAAAAGTTCAATTAAAAGCAATATTTTCTAATTAATAGAAAATAACAAATCAATATTATGATTGTGATTAATGAAAGCACAGTTTGTAAATAATTAAAATATAAATAAGTAAATAAAAGCTTAGATTATAAATTGATTAATCTCAGTAATGAATCAATAGTTGAAAACGAGTAATTAAAAATAAAAAAATAGAATCGTGGAATGAAACAAAATACCAACGTAATTTCAGCTTTAAATTCAGAATCATCTTAAATTTCCTTTAATTCTCGCAAGACCATGCGCAAACCCATATCCCAACAGGGACGATCAAATTCCAACATCTGCACTTCGATTCGTTTACATTCGAATCTTCGAATATCGGTAAAACCACCTCCAACCAATTCCACCAACACCTCTCGATAGTATCTTTTGCCAAACAATTGTTTAACCGCAAATAGCCGATGAAACAAGGAGAAATTCTCGAAATATCTCGGTAATTCGAAATCGAGGAGAGGCCAAGTAGTGATAGACATGGTCCATAACAGGGAAAGTTGTTATTTCACAATCGGAGGCAACGAAACGCCAGGTGAAACGGTCCATTTGACCTGGCTCGTGTAGTGCAGCCGTTAACGCAATGCGAAAACACGCTCGTTTCCTATTTTATTTCGGCTTTTAACGAAAACAACAACAGCAACGACGATAAATGTTACCGTACACGTTCACTGATTTTCAACATCCAACAGGAAGGGAGAGAGACAGAGAGGAAGATCTCTATCACGCTAATCCCTCGAGATTTCTCCGATACTGATTTCAGGCTGGATTATGGTCAATGCTGAATGACCATCACCTTCTCCGTTTCTACAAAACTGTGCGTGTTTGTTCATTGGTCAACGAGTGCGGCTTGCTTCTTTTCGCGGGAATTTCAAACGAATGAAAATTGGAAATCATTGGAATTGGAAATCGAGACGATGATTTGTTTCGAAGGAAAGAAGAAGGGATTGATTAGGATGAGTTTTAAAAATTGTTAAAAGAGGTTGGTTGAAAAATTGTATCTTCTTGTCGCAAGAAGTAATTTTGTTTCTAAGAATTATTAAAATATGTGGAATTTTCATAAGTTGGTGTAATAAGTATTCTCATTTCATTAACTTTGTGTTCTTTGTGTGGTATTAAATGTGTCATTTCATTAGAATTATTACAAAACGTTTTAATTAGCTATTATTTGGGCCAGATATTATGGACAGAAGTTTTTAGAAGAGGCTTTACGAAATTGTATACATGTATGTATTATTGTTTCATCTTAATCCTCTATATACCAGAAGAATGCTAAAGACTTGGTTGACCATAGATAAATTCTATTAAATGGTTTAAAATGTTCTTTTTATATCATTTTATCTAATTAATCTCCAAAACAGGATCTTTAGTATTTATATTATATTTTATATTATAATATACTTCAATATTTATTTATTATATAGAAATGCTCAGAATAATTTCATTATTTGTATGAAATTAATTCAATCTAAAAAATCGTTTCGTTCATTCAGAATTAAGATTTAATTAAATCGCGCGTACACAATTTTTAATTGTTAATTACCATCCCCCCATCTGAATTAGATTTCTTACTTCAAAAGAAGTGAAATAAATTTTCATTGATATCGAACAATTTATTAAATTAAATTAAATTAAAGAATAATAATAATAATACAAGTACACATACGATTGATTAATTTCGCAATTTAAACAAATAAATTTGTTCGCGTTTTCTTTATTTTTTAATTAAAAAAAAAAAAAAAAACTGAGCTTTCAAATATATTCACGTTTCAATCATTTCTAAGAAACGACAAGAAGTATATATAAGTTCAATACTCACTGTTCTTGTAATTCTCCGACATCGATGCATACTGCGTTCCGTGATGGTGACCCGATATTTGCCCCAATATCTCCAGATTCCTCGATTGCCGTCCTGAAAAAGGCACAATGGGAACGGGAACATTAAAGATCGGGCCACGATTAATCATAACGGTAAATTAGGTGCTCTCGAAGATAAAGGGATGCTTCCGATGGCTCTAAGCTTTTTGTCGTTTTTCTTGATCCAAGCCCAAGATTTCCAAGCCGAAATTCCACCGACAATTTAAATGAATCCTTATCTGGATAAAGGGTCCCTAATGAAGCAGACCGATATTTTCGATGAAACCACTTTTTCGCTAATATCTCGACGACGATTTCATTTCAGACCGTCGTCCAGGGGAAATAAGCAGTGATAATCAGACGAGCTTGTATTCGTGTGCAGTATTGTGATAAATAATGTGCAATGAAAATAGGTTTTAATTTAGTTAGAAAGTCTACAATTTTGTTAGAAAGTTTTAAAAAGTCTCTTATTTCTAATTTCTAATTGTTTTGCAATTAATAAATATTAAATTTGATATTTGATTAAGAGAAATTATAGAAATAAGAAGGTAAAAATTGATCTAACGATATAAATCCAAATACATGCAAAACATACGTAACGAAATTTTTTATCGATCGCATTTGGTGAATTAATTTTCACGTGAAACTCGAAAATTGAATCTAGATAACGACGAATGAAACTGACCTAATGGCTACACCAATTAATTTTCCAACTCTGCAACTAGCTATAATCATCCACTATATAAGTTGCAATCCATAACCAATTATAATTCCTAATAATCACGAACTTTCGTAACAAAAACGATTTCGAATTTTAATTAAATTATTTTATCGTTGTTATAATTTCATCTTCCATTTTCATAAATCGTTCGATCCTCTCGTCCCTCCTCCCCCCCCTCGAAAAATATAATTCTCTATTACGAATTATAATTCATAACCAATTACAATTCCCGACACCGATCTCGAATTTTAATTAAACTTTGCACACTGATCATTGTGCATCCCCCATTTTTACGTAACATCCACCCCTCCCAAAAAGTTATTAAAATCAAAGCAAGAAGTAGTTTCTCGGTTCTTCCTTTCGCCGGATATTTCAGGCGTTAAAATGATAATTTAAAGTTGCGAAATCGCGACAACCTATGGTCGAAACTTTAACTATATTCCGTGAGGACAAGTGCACGCTGCAATTCTCGTAACTTGAACATACTTTCCCCGCGAAACTAGGGAAAAAGCGGCAAACACAGGAATATTGCATGGTGCGGTAACAACTAACTTCTTGCGGCGTCATTTTTTTTTTCCATGGATGCAACGGTAACATGCAATTGAACTTGTTTCAAAACCTCATCTATATATACACGTATTCTCGGATATCTTTATTCCAATATCTTTATTAGGTACACACGAACGGTTTATTAAAGTATTACATTAATCAGATCGCGTGACGTTTTCTCACGAATATGTAACGTTTTAAATAATATTCCTTAATAAGAGGGTAAAGTTAATATTTGCAACGCTCTGATAAATTATCGTCGCTTTTAATTTTCAATAATATTTAATAATATGGAGTGGTACATTTTTATGCACTAATAAATTCCAATTACGTATATATCAATAAACGATATATCAATATAATTTTTAATCCAAATTAAAAAAAAAAATAGAATCATCTGACAAGTCTTAGTGTCTCTTTGTGAGATAGGATTAGAAAATATTTGTATACGAATAGATTAAAAAAAAAAAAAAGAAAGGGTATCTAGAAATTTCACTGCTCGAAACGTTCATTTTAACTTCACTGCTTATTCGAAATTTCACAATAGAAATGTACGAATTCCAACTGTTTCATTATTCGAAATCGGAAGATGGATATTGTAAGTTATTTAAAAACAAACCCCCGGCACCAGGATCGCGAGGAACGCCGATAATTTCGCCGGGGAAACGCGAATTGCTAATAACTAAAAATGAAAGCTCGGGAAACAAAGGGTACGGGGCGAGCACCGTAATGTAAACTTTGAAGAAGGGAAGTTTCCTTCCCTCGAAATTTGAGAAGATAAAGTTCATATTGGCCCCGTGGAAAGTCGGGCTTTTAAGAGCAATCCCTATTTTACGAAGGTGTATTTAAATCAATAAGGACAAGATTATATAAGTCCCCGATGGAAAAACTTTCTCCATAATCGCTTGCATTCAGGTGTCGGCAATTAGCAAACTTTATTGTCCGGCATTATCGTTTATCTTTGCCCCGACGATCTATAATCTTAATTAACGAAGGGGAAATGTGCATTACTTTCACCCACCTCGACGACATTTTCTTCTATTAATTATCGTAAATTGTGACCAATTGATTTTCAATTAAACATTGATTGTTGATGATAAAAAATCGGTTGTGATAAATAAAATTATATCGAACTTGTGCATTTTAAAAAAATTTAATGTACAAACTCGTTTAAGAATGAATTTCTTTACAAATTGCAATTGACAAGTTGAAAGATCTGATTAATGATATAAATATAGAGAGAGATGTAGTATTGATTATTTATTTTTTGAATTTTAAAAATTCAAAAAGAAAAAAGGAAAAGAAAAACGACGAGAAAGCGTTTCCTCAAATTCGTCTCTTCAAACGTTGATACAACGACATTACATTTCCGAGCGGAAGTTGATACGTTGTCAATACGTTTCACCTGTCGAGCCTGTGTATATCGATACTCGTGTGTACGATTTGCAAAGTTCGGTTGCAAATTCCACACAATGGCTACATGACGTACTAGCTACCTATGTTTTTTCGGACTGAGCCCTGTTCGGATTAGCCGCGAACACGGATTTAGCAAACATGACGAGGAACGAGGGACATTTCAATGGAAGTTGAAAACAATTGTTTGCATTGGGTGGAACGTTTTCGAACGTGCCGCTTTTAAAAGCTTACTCGATTTCCCCTGGCTCGAAATGCCCTTTTCATATTTGACTTTAAGAAGATCGTAATATTTCTGATTAAAAAATTAAAGAACTGATGGACACTTTTTTTGTAATAAAAAAAATTTGCATACATTAATTATACTGCTAGAAAATTAATATAACGAAAATGAAATATTTGAAAAATTATTTCATTAGAACGTATGCATCCGTATTGTATAAAATTCTGTTGTTTCAAAAAATTCTCAAGACATTTACGCGTGAAATTTTAAGGGAGCTACGAAAATACGAAGTAATTTGAAGAATATTATCATCGAACCAATGAAGGATATAACAAGAGAACTTTCGTTAAAAATCGACAGCATATTCGAGCAAAACGACGACGAAATTCGACTCGTGATTAAATGGAGCCCTGTCTAAATTAATATTCAAAAACAATTTTAAAACAAGCAGGTAACGATTATTAGAGCAGATTTATTGATCATTAGATAATTTATTTTATTTATTTAATTTAGATAACTGAAACGGCAAACTATTCGTACAAGACTCGAATTATCACCGTCCTCGGACCAAATACTTATCAAGGAACAGCTACTCTCGCGAATAATCTCGAATTCTGCACGAAAGGGCGAAGTCTTCGAGTGATTTTACCTCCCCGCGCTCGGTGCGGCGAGACACCAAAAATTCAATTTGCGGACTTCCGCCATAGAGATCGGAAGTTAACCCAAGTTTCCTGTGCTGTTGGCCGCGCGGCCGTCCCCTACCACCTTTTTCTCTCCACTCGTAAATAATCAACGAAAACGTCCTCCTCCTTCCTCCCTTCCTCCCTTCCTCGATGATAACTTAACGAACTCGAGGAATCGGTATTCTCTCTGGGCGTCAGAGTCAGCCAACTCGTCAAAGCTTTCGTTGAAATCGAGAGAAAGAGAGAGAGAGAGAGGGAGAGAAATTGGAGGAACCACAGAAACTCGGGAACGAAACAATGACGTTTCTCGTTCACCACGGTGTAAGCACGCCCCGGTTCTACCCGTATTTTTGAAGCCGCCTTTGTGCTAACCCGCTTTCAAATTTCTCAGCTACGCCCCAACTTCGGGTAACTGAATTCTATTGGTCACAGCGTCGAGTCGTGACGGCGAGAGAACGCCGCCATACTCTTAAGAAAAGCTTTCATTGTTGGAATTCGAGTGCGATATATATATATATATCTCTCTCTCTTTCTCCCGCTTCTTCCATTTATTCTCTCTCTATCTCCGTGGTAAGATGATCCATCGCCGAGATCCTCTCCCGTGTAAAAGTTTATTTTAATCTTATCACGATGAAGGAAGTGGACTAATCGATGGCGATAATGATATTTGCTGAAATTTTAATTCATTCCCCTTCTCACAAACGTAAGTAAAGTTCTTTCTCGATAAAAATTGTTTCTCGATATTAGACTTCAATTATTACGAATTCAATCATTCGAATTAACTCTCCCCTTTCCATCTTTCCCCTCATCTTCCTCCTCATCTTCCTCCTCGCCAAGATTTTCTAGATTACCGCACTGTCTCCAAACCTTATATATATATATATATATCGACGTTTATTTAGGACGAGCTCTCATCACGAAACGATAATATCACGGCTGGTCAGGCAACGATTAATGGAGCAATCTGGGCTGTGACCGATGCTGTACGCAATCGGGAAACAGCTTCTAGCTTTTCATCGGATCCGGATATGTATGTACATTATGCGCAGGATTGGCTGGCTTACGCGCCCCACCCAATCTATCCACCACCGTGAAATTTACTTTACGGCTTATTGGCCTCTGTTTAGAGTAAAGTGTCAGTCCCCACACATCGGCCTTATCCTCGTTCTTATTTTTACCCTGCCCTGCGCAGGAGGATGGATCCTTCATTTCGATGCTGATGCAAAGAAAACGACGGACGCAGTTATTTTGACAAACGAAACGCGGGCGGATTTTCCAACACGGCACACGGCAGATTCTTGTTATTTCTGAGAATTAGGGGATGTTTTCGTTCGCCCCGTTCGGGGCTTGACCGTACATTGTTTGGACACGTTCGGTGTTTATTTCACTATCCGTACACGTGTATGTCGAGGGAAGATGGATTTCAATTCTTTTTTTTTTTATTTATATTTTTATTTATATTTTTT